GAAAGCATGTATTTATAAATAAATGATGTTGGGAATAACAAAGAAAAATCGAAGGACGATGTATTGGGTGAGAGCACAAACAGGAGTCTGCGATGTCATTGTATCAGTGAAAAAATTAAAAGATTGTAAGATACGTTGCAAGAAGAACCGACCATCTTTGGATTACACCAACAATACACTGGGCTCCAAGAAAGAGCAACAACCGGTGAGAAAAACTCCATTATTTGAAAAAAATTCATTTCATCAAGAGCTCGATGATGATTGAATAAATTATTTATGAAATGTATTTCAAACCCTGGCATCATTACAACTGAAAACTCCCCTAAAATGCATCACTCAATTTAATAAGCAATTTGGGCTTTTTTCAGAAAATAATTACTTGTCGAATAAACTCGACTACTGCGTTAAAGAACATCGTTGAAACTCGTCCTCCGAGAATTTTCTCAGGAGTTTCTTACCACTAGACGCTTCTTTTCTTGTCTATTTTTTATTCCTGTCTCTTGACTGCATATTCTCTTCCAACATGTTCTAGCGACTCTTGTTCAACTAGAAACAAGAGAGTAATGCGGAGAATTGATGTCGCTCTCGTGCAGCACTCCAGAAACCAGCAGGATCAAGTGCGGCAACCGACATGACGTCCGTATTTCCTTTTTCCTTCACTGAAGCATCTAAGCAGCCAAATGCAGCAGTTTCAGGATTGAATTCTTCCATCGGGTGCATACCTCATTGGCCTTACGAGATGTCTGAAGAGAAGCAATAAAACTGTCTGCTTCTGTGTGCTCCATGGCAAGAACTAGTTTTCTTGGCGGAATTCCGATGACCTCTCTTGACACGCTGACGAGGTCATTAAGAGCACACGGATCTGGGTCAAGTCCGATGCACCGAGGGAACCAGAGTTTAAGGCTAGCGCCTTCAGCCGTCGACTTTACGATGCGCTGACCGTTCCCCCTAAAAAGCAATACCACGCACAGAATAAAAGCGACAAAAACGCTCGTAGCCCGTACTTCGATAAAGCGTTGGTTCTGTCATTCGTTGCGTCGCAGAGCAGCCACAATGATCGCTCGCCCCACGCATTGTAAACACATGCCCAAAGCGACAGGGGCCGGTGTCGTCAGAGTCGTCAGAGTCGTCGTAGGGCCGGGGCGAAGTCGATCAGATCCAGACGTCGTTCCGTCTGCTGCAATCGTCAATACTGTAAGTCACCTAAGTCGTCGTCCGGTCGTCGTTTTCGCATTCACGTTGGTTCTGTGACGACCGACCGTCGTCGTTACAGGTCGCCTCAAAACCAAACAACGCTCGGTTTGCCCCAGCTGACGGCAGTGTTGTAAAGTGAGGTGGTGATCTCGAGGACAACAGCGTGCCCCGTGGCCGTTATCACCGCACAGAAACGGGAAGTGGCCAAATAACCGAGTCGACCATGGCAGCCAGGGATCAGCTCCCGTCGAAGGTATTCGTTTCTCTCTTGAACCATTCGAGTTCGATCGTTAACCGGTCACCCACCCGCAGAGTCGCTGGAACCGAACTTTCACGGCAACCAGGCGCAACGCTGCCGGCTCCTTCAGCTTCCACCTGCAGGAACTGGCCCGCAAACAGGAAGTAAGTACGTCGACTGTGTTTACTTTTCCGCAGTTTGAGAAGCTCGCCAAACGGCGTTGTGTCGACTACCATCCCGCTTGCTGTTCGAAGAAGTTTGTTTAGAAATTTCGCCTTCTCGAACGTTCGTATGAACATGCACTTATGCACGCAATAAACGCGTAGCATTCAGCCGTAGGTGCTGAAGCTGGACATTGTTACCAAGTGTTCATGAGGAACGGGCATTCATGGACGACATCGGTCAGTGAACATTTGTACAGTAGCTGACATTTGTCGAAGTCGTGTGCGAACGAAAGCATGACAACTTTGCTACACAGGCCCATTTGCCTGAACCAGTAGGAAAATGCTGCAACAACATAGGGTTTGGGGTGTATTACCAGACGGGTATAAGCATAAGGATACTTTCATTCAAGAAGCATACACTGAGCAACCTGGGAAGAGCACAGAATGTGGTTTATAGCGGGGAGTGTAGTAACTGCGGTAAGACCTATCAGAAACTGAGTATCTTAATTAAAGAACATTTATCTCCAGTCTGTCTCGAGCATGTTGATAACTCTGGTGTTGCACAACACGCCATTTCTGAGGGACCCTCCTTCAGTCAGACGAATGAGTTTGTAATCGAAAAGATCGCTTAAAGCTTGGTCTATTTTGGCCAGATGTTTATAAATGTTTTGGCGATGAAACATTGCGTTTGTTATGAGTACTCAACCTCAGGGATGACATGTGAAAAATTGCGCTGCTATTACAAACATGACAAGAAAAGTTGGAACGATGAAATGAGTGGTAAACGTTAAACGTTGGAGTGTAAAGTTATAAGTATTATGGATAAAATTTGGTGCCAACATTCCACTCACCTTAATACGAGGTATTAGTTTAAATTAGACGGCTACTTGCCCGAATTTTGACCAGTTATACCCTGACGGTGCTACAGTGTTCTAGCGAAACGCGTTGGTAACAAATTTTCTAACATATGTATTGTTAACGCTCTTAATCTGGAATTGGCAATTCCTGGAATGGAATCAGAATAGGAAATATTGCACCACATTTATCAAATCAGTTCAGACATAGGGTTAACATGGCTTACAGGTAGAAAGCAAAATATTGAATCAATAAATGTCAACAGAGGAACAAGCAAGAATCAAAATACGTGATATGACAATTTTTAACGACAAGCGAATTAATTATTGTAAGGCTAAACAGTTCAGGTACCCTGCGTAGAACTTACCCAGTCTACCATGAGACGGATTTGCTATGTAAGCAAATCATCAGTAACGTTTCCAATGAACGACGGCCCTCCATCCACCCGGGATTTGAAACTTATCACGAACAGAGTGAATACCGTAATCATTTAGCACCTTTGTTGCAACTCAAATACAGTAGTCATTGCAGTTCTCTTGCATAAAAAACCCGAGTCTTGCATTGTTTCCATTGCGTACAGTAACGAAATATGTATTAATATGTAAACAAGATGTCGACCCGCCGATA